TAGAGTCTGAGCTTTGAACATTGCGACACATCAGGAGTGGGGGAAGAGTTACCTGGACACTGTGTTTCAGGAAGAAGTCACATACCTTAGATTAATTACCTTGAATTTGGTCAATGGTCAGTGGTCATGGACAGAAGAGTGTGACTACGGGTGAGGTAGGTAGATAGATCCTGGAGGTAGAGCTGAAGGAGCCTCAGCCCTTTAGCTTATCTAATAGGTTTGAGGTTCTTGCTCCCTGTGTGGATGAGGGTGGGGCTCTAGGGAGGATGAGCAAACTGACCATAGCACCATGGTACATGCAGCCATTCAAAAGATGGGGAGAAAAGAGAACTATAGTTGTAATCGGGGGATAGATGCTGCTCTCTGTGACCAGGATTGAGAGTCCTGAGAGCTGCATTGTGTGCCTAGGTGCCCAGGTTCAGGATAGCTCATCTGTGCTGCAGAGGAACCTGCAGTGGGAAGGGAATGATCCAGTTGTCATGGTCCATGTAGTTCCTAATGATAAAGGACAACTACAGACATTCTGCTGAGGGAATATGAGCAGTGAGAGTCCAAATTAAAAAGCAGAACTAAAATCTCTGAGTTACGACCTGAGCCACGAGCTAATTGACACAAGTTCAACAAAATTAAAGAGCTAAATGCGTGGCTCAAAGATTTGTAAGGGAGAAGGGAGTTTGAATTCATGGAACATTGGCACCAGTACTGGGGAAGGGAGCTATTCCGATGGGATGGGCTCCACCTGAGTTGTGCTGGGACCAGCATCCTGGCCAATTGCATAATTAGGACTGTGGATAGGGCTTTAAACTAAATAGTGGGGGTGTTGGTTTCAGTTGCATGGAAAATTATTAAAAAAGTTAAAGTTGAGGGGCAAGAGAGCTCAGCAGAGCTCAGTTAAATTTTCCATAACAAGTAAAAGTACAGAAAGTTTGGGAAGGGTCAGGAATCTAACTTCAGGCACAGCAGATAAGGAGACAATTGTGAGTAAGGGGTCAATCGATGCAGGACTGACAGTTTTATACTTAAATGTACAAAGTAAGGTAAAAGAGGTTGTAGCGCAGTTTGAAATTGCCAGGTATGACGTTATGGGTATTACAGAGACGTGGCTGCAAGGAGATCAGGGCTGGGAACTAAATATCCAAGGATACACATGCTATTGAAATGTCTCTCAGGTGGGCAGTGAGGGTGAGTTTGCCTTGTTGGTAAGAAATGAAATTAAATTGATGGCAAGAAGTGATATAGAATCAGGAGGTGTAGAATCTGTGTGGATAGAATTGAGAAACTACAAAGGAAGAAAGGCCCTGATGGGAGCTGTGTACAGGCCTCCGAGCAGTTGTCAGGAGGTGGGAAGAAAAGAAATCAGGAAAAGAAAAGCATGTAAGAAAGGCACTACTACAATAATCTTGGGGGACTTCACAATGCAGATTGATAGCAGATCTCAAGAAAAGGAATTCGTGGAATGTCTACGAGATTTTGTTTTGGAGCAGCTTGTGGTAGATCCCACTGAATTTACCCTGCAGTTTGAGAGGGAGAAGCTTGTATCAGATGTAGTAATATTACAACTGAGTAAAGGCAACTACAAAGACATGAGGAAAGAGCTGACTAGAATTGATTGGAAGGGAAGTCTAACAGGGAAAATGGTGGAACAGCAATGGCAGGAGTTTCTGGGGGGGTAATTCAGGAGGCACAGCAGAAATTCATCCTAAGGAAGAAGAAACATACTAAGGGGAGGACAAGACAACCGTGGCTGACAAGGGAAGTCAGTGACTGCATAAAAGCAAAAGAAAGAGCATACAAGGTGGTGAAGATTACTGGGAAGCTTTTAAAAACCAGCAGAGGACAACTAAATGAGCAATAAGGATGGAGAAGATGAAATAGGAGAGTAAGCTAGCTGGTATTATAGAAAAAGTTTGCAAGATCTTTTTAAGATATCTAAAAGGTAAGAGAGAAGCAAGAGTGGACATTGGACCGCTAGAAAATGAGGCTGGAGAAGTAGTAATGGGGAAGAAAAGAAATGGCAAAGGAACTGAACAAGTACTTTACATCAGTTTTCAGAGGAAGACACCAGCAGCATACCAGAACTTCAAGGAAGTCTGGGGCCAGAGGTCAGTGTAGGGGCCATCATTAAGGAGAAGGTGCTGGGTTGCAGAAATTTCTGAAAGTGGATAATTCACCCAGACCAGATGGACTGTACTCCAGAGTTTTGCGGGAGATAGCTGAGGACACTGAAGAGATGATGTTTCAGGAATCACTGGAGTCACGGAGGGTCCTGGAGGACTGGAAGACTGCTAGTGTAACACTCCTGTTTAAGAAGGGAGAGAGGCAGAAGACAGGAAATTATAGGCCAGTCAGCCTGACCTTGTTCACTGATTAAAATTTTAGAGTCCATTGTTAAGGCTGAGTTTTTGCGGATTACTTGGAAGTGCATGGTAAAATAGGACTAAGTCAGCACAGCTTTGTCAAGTGGAGGTCATGTCTGACAAATCTATTAGAATTCTTTGAGAAGGTAACAAGCAAGTGAGAAAAAGGAGAGCCAATGGATGTGATCCATTTGGATTTCCAGAAGGTCTTTAACAAGGTGCCAGACAGGAGGCTTCTAAATAAGGTAAGAGCCCATGATGTCAGGTGCAAGGTTCTGGTATAGAGAGAGGATTGGCTGACTGGCAAAAGGTAGACATTAGGGATAAAGGGGTCTTTTTCAGATGGCAGCCAGTGACTAGTGGTGTTCTGCAAAAGTCAGTGTTGGGACAATTCACATTATATATTAATGATCTGGGTGAAGGAACTGAAGGCAAGATAGGTGGAGGAACAGATAGTGTTGAGGAAACAACAAGGCTGCAGAAGTAACTTGACAGGCTAGGAGAGTGGACAAAGAAGTGGCAGATGGAATATAATGTGGGAAAGTGTGAGGTTGTGCACTTTGGGAGGAAGAATAGAGGCATAGACCATTTTCTAAACAGGGAAAGGCTGCAGAAACCTGTAGCACAAAGGGAGTTAGGAGTCCCAGTTCAGATTCTCTTCAAGTCAATATGCAGGTTCAGTTCATAGTTAGGATGGAAAATGCAATGTTAGCATTCATTTCAAGAGGTCTAGAATACAAGAGCAGAACTGTACTGCTGAGGCTGTATAAAGCTCTGCTCAGACTGCATTTGGAATATGTTGAACAGTTTTAGGCCCCATTTCTAATGAAGGGTGTGCTGGCCTTGGAGGCTCAAAGAATGATCCTGGAAATGAAGGGATTCTTTGTTGTATGAGGAGTCTGGACTTGATGGAGTTTAGAAGGGTGAGGGTCGATCTCATTGAAACTTACAGAACACTGACAGGCCTGGATAGAGTGAATGTGGAGAAGATGTTTCCACAAGTAGGAGAAACTAGGATCTGAGCACACAGCCTCAGTGTGATGGAATAACGCTTTTGATGTGAAATGAGGGGTATTTTCTTCAGCCAGAAGTTGTTAATCTGTGGAACTCATTGCCACAGAGCGCCGTGGAGACCAAGTCATTGAGTGTATTTAAGACAGAGGTAGGTAGGTTCTTGATTAGTAAGGAGATCAAAGATTTTGGAGAGAAGGCAGGAGAATGGGATGGAGAAACATATCGGCCATGATCAAATAGCGGAGGAGACTTGAAGGATTGATTGGCCTAATTATGCTCCTTTATCATAAGGTCTTGTGAATAGCTGGGGTCCAACCACTGATCACTGCAGTACCCACTGGTCATTGCCTACCACCCAAAGAGACCTGTTTATTCCTACTTCTGTTTCCTGTCTGGCAGCTAGTTCTCTATCCATGTCAGGACACTACCCCCGTGCCATGCATTTTAATTTTACATTCTAATCTCTTATATGGGACCTTATTGAAAGCCTTCTGGAAGTCCAAGTCAACCACATAAGTTCCCCCTTATGAACTCTACTGATTACATCCTTGAAACATTCCAATAGATTTGTCAAGCATAATTTCCCTTTTGTAAATCCATGCTGGCTGTATTCAGCTCAGTCACTATTTTCCAAGTGCTCTGCTATTAATTCTTTAATAATGGACTCTCTACTCCCTTTTCTATAATAGTGGGGGTACATTAGTTACCTTCCAATCCACAGAAACTGTTCAGAGTCTGCAGAATCTTGAAAGATGACTATTCCTAGGGCCACTGCCTTAACTATTCTGGGATGGAGATTATCAAGCCTAGGTGATTTGTGAGCCTGTATTCCAATCAGTTTCCCCACCATTTCCCTACTCATACTGATTTCCTTCAGCTCCTACCTCTCACCAGCCCCTGTGTTTCCCCAACATTTTTGGGATATTGTGTCCTCCTTTGCAAAGAGACAACCAAAATACATTTTTAATTGGTCTGCAAACGCTTTGTTTTCCATTATAACTTCCCTTGTTTTTGATTGTAAGGGTTCTACATTTGTGTTCACTAACCTTTTTCTCTTTGCATATCTTTAGAAATTTTTATAATTAGTTTACACATTCCCTGCAAGCCTACTGTTGTATTCTATTTCCCCCTCTTAATCAATCCCTTTGCCCTCTTTGCTGAAGTCTAAACTGATCCCAATCCGCAGGTCTGCAGCTCTTTTTGGCCGATTATATATGTTTCTTCCTTGGATCTTATACTATTCCTCATTTCCCTTGTTAGCCATGGCTGGGTTACCTTTCCTGTTTTACTTTTGTGCCAGCGATGAATAATTGTTGTAGTTCCTCCATGTACTCTTTAAATGTTTGCCATTGTCTATCCACTGTCATCCTTTTAGTGAAGCTCCCCAATGTTTCTATCTAACTTGTTAGTTACATCCTCAAAACCTTTGTGAAGCCTTCCTCAGTTGTGGTTATTAAATACAGGTTTACTTCATGCAAATTAAATATTAATTTTGTAAAGTTACATATAATTCTCACATTTGCCTTCTCTTGCAGTAATCTGAAATAAAGGAGATTTAGTAAGAAGTCTGTACCTTGCACTGGGGGAAAGACACAACCATATTAATTTCCTCAATAAGCACTAATGTACCTGAAGGCGTCCAATTGCAACAAGACAAAATTTACTGCTTTGTCCGCCATCTGATTCCTCCTCTGGAAGGGTCATTCCTGCAAACAAAGATGATGTCACTGTGTTATTACTAACAAACTTCAGCACTTGCATTAACACTTTATTCTCATTGAACCCTCTGAAAATATCCATTTTGTACAAGGTACCAAACAGGTTAACACTAATGTACTAAGAGTCTCTGAATGGCTTATGCAACTGACTAGCTTTCCAGCCTAAAGAATTCATTGAGGTTTCTTATGTTTGAAAGAAAATAGCAGAATGTGATTCTTAGCAACCACTGCTCCAGGAGCGACGAGTTCATGTATTCACCATAGCAGCAGATCACATGGGCCTTTACAAGACCAACTTGTGGTGAGTCAGCAATCATCTGCTGCATGACTACACAGTTCATCACTGATTGCAGGAAAAGAAATGAAAATAAATTGCACTGACTTATTAAAATAATTTATATTACATATATAAACAAAAAAAAGTGATCAAAAATAACGCTCAAAGGATGTTTTTAGGGTCAACCAGAAGCCTGATCCAAATGCTTGGTAAGAAAAAGGGTATTCAAAGTGGAAGGCAGAGGTATTTATTACAGAGTAAAACAGTGTGTGGAGTCTTTGCAGCTGGAGACACAGACACCACCAAAGGCGAAACTAATCTACAGTGAATTCCCAAGGTCTTAAAGACAGTGGATCAAAGCATTTGGAAGAGTGGGTGGGCAATGCAGAGCTGAAGAAGCTGATAAAAATGACGAGAGAAAAGCGAGTGGGGGGTGGGTTGGTTCAAAGAAATGAGGAACTACAGACCAAAATAGCCTTAGGTTCAAAGAACATTCCCTAAGAGAAAGGTAGAGTCATCTGGCTGGCAAAAGTGATGGACCTTACAGAAGATATGGGGTTAAAGCTGCATTTCTGGAAGGGTGAAAAACTGCTCTCTGATGAACTAAACTTATCAATCGGGAACTAGTTTTTAAACCCTCCAGACCAGAAGGTTCTACCAACTTGAATTCAGCTTCACACACGAGCATAATTAAGGAGGAATTAACATGGGTTTCCCAGGATGGATCATAAAAAGCTACTAAGCTGTTTCTGAACATCACCGTATAGAGCATTTAAATAATAAAACATTACAATTCTAATAGTCCAAGATCTAAAACCAATCAGAAATAATGCACCATATGCACTCATGTTCATAGGTCAGGTGCCCTCAATTTTGGAGCCAAAGCTGAAGTGCATACCTATTATCTTATCAAGCGACCTACCAGAAGCAATCAATTATGAAGAAATTACAGGTCATTTGCAAAAGTAGTCAGTACAACCCAAGAAGATGAAAAGAAACTGAGCACAATTATTTTACTAAATGGAAACAATTACACAGTGTTTAAATACTATTTTGCTGAATCAGAGACAGAGCTGCATTATGTAGGCCTAGCTTAACTGGAGGTAATTAGATTCAATTCTATCAACAGTTCTACAACTGTCTGAGAACTCCACATTTCTCCACCTTTGGCCTCATGCGCATTTTCCACTTTCTTCAACTCGCCATTGGCAGGCCTTTCTTCAATTATCAAAACTATACGTTCTGAAATTCTCACACTGTGAGTCTTTCTCTCCTCACCAACTGGAAAATTCCAGTCAGTATTGGAAGAATGAGCTCCACAGATCCTTTAGATTTCCCTACTGGAAACCACCTGTGAGCAGATAGCAAAGATCCAGCCCAACAATTTGACCCATTTAGAACAGACTGGATGCAGGAAACTGCGGACCATCCTGATGTTGTGCTCACCTCCACAACCCTTTTAAAAACCTGACCCTTGATGCTTATTTCATTTTGGATCCAGTCCAACTGGGGAAGTTGAAATACTTTTATGATAGGATAAGGAGTATTTTTTAAACACTTGTGTATTTAAAAAAAGTCATGAGAAATAGGAACTTCAAATAAACGATGATGTATGAATTATTATTTCATTCTGGCCATGGCACACAAACAGACCACCAAACTAAACATCTCTTGGTTGAGTTTAATTAGTCCACATTCTTTGCTGATTTATTTCCAATAGCGAAAGGAAATAAATTCCTTTCAAGAGTAAGAGGATATTTTGTAAAAATCTGAATTCTTGAAATATTTTTTCCAGTGATGTAAAATAGACTATTTGTGGTGGGAATGTGGAGTGAATTAGAGATAGGATTTAATTCTATGGCTTCCTTAGTAATTGTAGCGTATTTCAAGGACCAGAAAATCCCATACAGTATATTTATTTCATCAATAATTTAAGCTAATTAAAACAAGACTTAGAGATAGACAACAAGAATGAAATCCAAGGACATTTGAGATTTTGATTCTAACATCTTAAGCTCAGCAATTCAGGGTCCTATTTCTAAATTTTAATCTTAGTAATGACTTAAAGCAAACACTGAGTGGCTAGGGAACTATGTAAAAGTAAAAGGTAATTAAATGTTTACAAATAGTCTTGTGATCAAATAAGAAAGAACATGTAGGGTGGCATAGTGGTTAACACCACGCCTCACAGCACGAGGGTCCCAAGTTCAATTCCAGCCTTAGGTTATAGTCTATGCAGAGTTTACACACTATCCTTGTCTCTGTGGGTTTCAGCTGGGTGCCCTGGTTTCTCCCACAGTCCAAATATGTGCCAGGTTAGGCAGATGGCCATGCTAAATTGTCCACTGTGTCCAGAGATGTGTAGGCTAGGCAGACTAGCCATGGGAAATGCAGGGTTATGGGTATAAGTTGGGGGCCTGGGTCTGGGTGGGATGCTTTTTGGGGGACCATTGCAGATGGGTCAAATGGCCTCTTTCCACACTGCAGGGAAACTGTGTTTGAATTTGAAATATGGAAATGCTGAGCAGATAAATTGTACAATGTGTATATAGTCAAATCATGTTATAGTAGTAGCAATGCTGAACATAAAATTATGAGAACCCACTGTTCTGCCACTCAATGAGATCATGATTGATCTGTGAATTAACTCCCTACATTTTTGTCGCATATCTCCTAATAGTTTTGGTTAATAATATCAATCAATCTGGCGTCAATGTCAGGCCAGTGAGCCTGACATCAATGGTAGGCAAGTTATTGGAGAGGATACAGAGGGACAGGATCAACCAACATTTGGATAGTCAAAGTCTGTTTAAAGATAGTCAGCATGGATTTGTGCACAGGAAGTTATGTCTGACAAATCTTTTAGAACTTTTCAAAGAGGTAACCAAGAGGATAGATGAGGGTAGGGCAGTGGATGTTGTCTACATGGATTTTAGTAAGACGTTTGACAAAGGTCCTGCACAGCAGGCTAGCCATGAAGGTTAGGTTGCATGGGCTCCAGGGAGAGCTAGTTAAGTGGATTTAAAATTGGCTCAATGGTAGGAAGCAGAGGATGATGGTTGAAAGTTGTTTCTCAAACTGGAGGCCTGTGACTAGTGGTGTGAAATAGGGGTCGGTGCTAGGACCTTTCTCATTTGTTACTGACATAAATGATTTGGATGTGAATGGACAAGGCGTGATTAGTAAGTTTGTGGGTGGTACAAAATTAGAAGGTATTGTTGATAGTAAGGAAGGTTATCAAAAATTACGGAGGAATCTTGATCAGATGGGGAATTGGGCTGAGGACTGGCAAATGCAATTCAATACAGATAAGTGTGAGGTGTTGCACTTCAGAAAGTCAAACCAAGGTAGGACTTATACAGTAAATGGTAAGGTCCTCAGGAGCGTTGTGGAACAGAGGGAACAAGGAGTACAAGTACATTGTCCATTGAAAGCGGCATTACAAGTAGACAGGGTGGTGAAGAAGACATTTAGCATGCTGGCCTTCATCAGTCAAGGCGCTGAGTATAGGAGTTAGGATGTTATGTTACAGTTGTAATTGGTGAGGCCGCATGTGGAAAATTGTGTACAGCTTTGATCACCCTGTTATAGGAAAGCCATAGTTAAACTGGTAAGTGTGCAAAGAAGATTTACGAGCATATTGCCAGGATTAGCAGGCCTGAGTTATAGGGAGAGGTTGGCCAGGATAGGACTGTAGGAAGATGAGGGGTGACCTTATTGAGATATGTAAAATCATGAAGGGCATGGATAGGATGAATGCATATAATCTTTTTCCCAGGGATGGGGAGTTCAAAACTAGATGGTATAGGTTTAAGGTGAGAGGGGAAAGATTTAAGAAGGACCTGAGGGGCAACTTCTTCATGCAGAGTGTGGTGTGTATATGGAATGGGCTGCTAGAGGAAGTGGTTGAGGCAGGTACAACAGCAACAGTTAAAAAACATTTGGATAGGTACATGGATGGGAAGGGTTTTGAGGGATATGGACCAAATGCAGGCAATTGGAGCTAGATGAGTGGGCATCATGGTCAGCATGGACCAGTTTGGGCCGAAGGGCCTATTTCCATGCTGTATTACTCTATGATCTAATTACCATATGGAGAAGACAGTTCCAAACTTCTAGCAACAAATGCATGCAGAAGTGTTTTTCAACCGCACTCCTGAAAGACTTGTCTGTAATTTTTAGACATTGTCCCTCACTAGTCCTAGACTCCCCAATGAGTGGAAATAGGTTCTTACTTTCTTCAGATCAAAGATATGGTCACAGACGTCCGCATGGGCCCTAGTTATGCCTGTCTCTCTGAGAGGTATGTGAAACATTCTTTGTTTCAGTCCTACTCAAGTCCCTCCCCACAACTCCTTTTCCAGTACACTGTACGATCATTGGCGCTGCTTCCCTCTCTTGTTCTGAACTGGAAACTTTTATCAATTTTGCTTCCACTTTCTACCCTGCTTTCACCTTCACCTAGTCCAACTCTGACTCCTTCTTTCCCTTCTCCAACATCTGTTTCCACTTCAGTTACCTCAACTATACATCCTCACACCCTGCTTCCTGTAAAGACTCCATACCAGTTTCTCAGTTCCTCCATCTCTGTTTCAACCATTCTGATGCCAGCTTCCACAAGGGGGCTCCAAAATGTCCACCTTTTTCCTCAAGCAAGGATTCAGCACCACCATGGTTGCCAGGAGCCCTCAGCCACATCCGACACATCTCT